ATCTTTAAAACTCCCTGGGCAATTTGTCCAGATTGTTAGAAGCCTGCCCAAGTTAAGTGGAATCAAAATTTCCCCAATTTTGTTATGACCTTAATCCATAGGAAAATATTTGTCACCTAGTTAAAGCAATCCCTTTAAAAATAAAGTTTTCCTTTTTTTCTAGTATCTCTGTCTCTCTCTTTTTTTTTCTTTCAAGTAGGCTCCACACCCAACATGGGGATTGAACTCACAACCCTGAGATCAGAAGTTGCCTGCTTTACCAACTGAACCAGCCAGGTGCCCCTAAAATTAATTTTCTGTACCAGTTTAAGACAAGAAGCTTTTGGCTCAAATTCATAATTTTTAGTATTTGACGCATTGGTATAGGAACTTTCTGTAGTGCTGTGTTAAAAAATGTGAATGACCCTATAGTCAATTTTATACAACTGATCAGATTAGCATCATAATAAATTACTGAACAACCTATAGGTTTTAGAAAGGACTAAACTGAGCTGGCTCCCAGTGTAATTGCTAGCTGCCTACCACACGATTGCCAAGCCACCATTTTAGTTACAAAGTAATTGAGTTTGAGGAACTACTTAGACATTGGCTATATTTGTAAGAATGGCCTGATCACCAAATAGCGGTGCCACTGGAAGAGATTATCATAGCCATCCAGGAATTTAAAGATTGATGGATGCTATAGAACATGGGATACCTGTAAAAAGCACAAATCCCAGAATTTTGTGGGAACCATTATGTAACGTAAATCAACTTGGGGGAAATTATAATGTCGAGTGCCATACTTTTGACTTTTGATCACAGCATATAAAGAATTCAAATCGGATAACCTATGTTCCAGTTACTTGATATTTCACAGTAGTGCCAGATTTCAACAAGTTGCACCTTCTGCCGTGTTGACATGAAAATATTATGTTTCTAAGACATGTCAGAAACACACTATCGGAACGCTAGGTAAGCATGTATACAGATAGCCTTTAAATGTACCCCCACGGATGGTGTCTCCACTACATTCAAAGTGGCTATGCCGTGCTTCCTTACATAGTTCATTCCTTTTTAAATGCTGAAAGTTTCACTTGAACTTTCCTAGATGCTAGGCTTTCTTCCAGTTTTCATAAATTATACTGACCCTGCCTTCCAAAAACAATGCAGCTACGTGTCATCAGGAAACACTAGTTGAAATAGAAAAAGCCCAGTTTTTCAAAATATCTTCAGCTTCTCTTTCTCTTGACATTTTCTGTCTCTTCCCCTACCTAGTGTTCTCTCCCAGGAAACTCTCATCATCTGATTAACAATGACCCTATATATTTACAGAGTTTAGTTATAGTTCTTATTTATTACTACTGACGAGCCATATCATGGATAAATGCAAAAATAATGTAAAGCAAACTGCATAAACCTAAAAGCATAGTTTTCCACGATAGAGGCTTATGGTGACATATGTGTTTCTGTGTGTGATGTATAGATATTTTCATTACCATGTGTTTGCCCTCATGAATCAAATGAAAATATTACAAACATCAGGAAGTCTTTCATCCACTTAGAAAAATAAATAACATTTTCTCTTTAAAAAATTTTGTCTTTCCCTGTTTTTAGAGAGAGAAACAGCGAGCACAAGTCAGGGAGATGGGCAGAGAGACAGACAAAGGGAGAGAATCGCAAGCAGGCTCCATGCTTGGCATGGAGTTTGACACGTGGCTTGATTC